AAAATAAACATACTTATACTCTATATATATATTTTTCTCTATGTATATTATATTTTTCATAAATATTTAATAAAAATATAATTAAAAAGGAAGTAAACACTGTAACCAACAGGGCACTCAGTATTCTGGGAAGTTTGTGTGCATTGGGATTCATATTTTTTCAAATAAAGATAAGGTAACACTCATTTTACATACAGCACACAGTGAAAATTACATGAATATGGCAGTGGGCAAATGCATAAAGCGCAGCATAATTTGAAATCAGTCACGAGTTTAAAGTTTGTCGATCGTTCGTCTCCAGTGAAGCCGAATTCTCCCTCCTGTCCGTATTCCATTCGCACGGACCATAGGACCGACCGTCACAGAACACGCGATCATACAGGTCACATGCACACTTCACAAGATCTCAACTAGATTTGACTAAGTCTGCAAGGTTTGTGAAATTAAATGTTCATTCGTCATTCAAAGATTTGTTTAAATCATATAAATGCGTATTTGCGGAATGCTGACGGCAAACGAGAAAGTATTATAATGTTTGCCTTTAATAAAGCAATCGTTATAATACTTTTTTGTATACATTTTAATTCCTTTTGTTTAACAGTTCTATCTGATTATTAGATAGACTTCTATCCGTATTAGACAGAACTGAATGACAACAGCGAACAAGAGGGAGAATGTGAGCACTGTGTGCTAAGGTGCTGTCGCAGCCGTTCTCGGTGCTGTCAAAATAAAAGTCCCGCCTCGAACACATCGGCCAAACAGAAGAACTTATCGGCCGATATTTACAAAATGGCAGATATTGGCCGATATATCGGTCGACCACTAGTTTTAACTAGGTTTCATATTTATATTCCCAACCTACAATGTCTAGAGTTGTGTGTGTTTATTGTTTGGTTTGTGTCTAGATGCTCTGGAGTCTCTAGATCTGACCATGGATGAGAATAAGGAGAACCAGACGCCTGAATGTGTGCAGGGAGAGCTGGACTGGGTACAGCAGTACAGTTTAGACCAGGAGCGAGAGGAACAGGAGCTGCAGCAGGCCCTCGCACAGAGCCTACAGGAACATGTAAGGACCATGATACACATCTTATCCACACTACTGCTACATTCGCTTTAAATAAATCTATCCATTATTTCTCTGTTTTATGAATTAAAAAAAAATTGTAATCATCATAATACTTGTGTTGTGGACTTTGATTTTACAATTCTTGATCTTGTGAATTTTTAACCTAATGTAATTTTGTCAGTCTAAATTCTCCCTCAAATTGCATTTGTGTCTTTGTTTATTTGCTGATGAAGCACAGCCAAACTTAAAGGTCATCCTGTTTGAGTTTTTATTTTTGGGTGAAACTCATTGAACCGGTCAATAACATGTCTAGGTCATATTTCACTGTAAAATCAAAAGAACATAATTGTGGTGTGTTTTGAATATGAAACATTTTAAGGACCGTTTTAAAATCTTGATGAATCTTATTTGTTGGAGAAGGGGGAAAAAACTGACAAAAAAAAAAACTTCTTAAAACAAAATATATTTTTGGATGCATTATGGTTATGACTTATAGGAGAGGATCTGTTTTACTCTGCCAAAAAATTTTTTATTCTTCATTCTGTTCAAGATGTTTTGTATTTTTTTTCATATTATTGCCATATTATAATCACCATCTTGGTCTTTTAGCACAATCTTCTTAGCAGCTGTACTTTTCCAGTGTTGTTCATCCTTGACGTTAGCACAGCTTAACTGATGATGATAATGATTGTTGTACAATGAATATTATCTGTGTTAATTGCACAGGAGGCGAGAGAGATGAGGGAAGATGATGATCTGAAGAGAGCCACTGAGCTCAGTCTGCAAGGTCAGTATGATACACCCAGAACATTGTGTTCTGTGTCACATTATCTTGGTTTATGTGAACATTTTTGTTAACGTGGCTGTTTGTGTTGTTGTAGAGTTTAATAACTCTTTGCCAGAGCTGCTGTGCTCTGATGACGACTCTGGGAATGAGGATGGAATTTAATTCTTCATTCTGTTCAAGATGTTTTGTATTTTTTTTCATATTATTGCCATATTATTATAATCACCATCTTGGTCTTTTAGCACAATCTTCTTAGCAGCTGTACTTTTCCAGTGTTGTTCATCCTTGACGTTAGCACAGCTTAACTGATGATGATAATGATTGTTGTACAATGAATATTATCTGTGTTAATTGCACAGGAGGCGAGAGAGATGAGGGAAGATGATGATCTGAAGAGAGCCACTGAGCTCAGTCTGCAAGGTCAGTATGATACACCCAGAACATTGTGTTCTGTGTCGCATTATCTTGGTTAATGTGAACGTTTGCGTTGTAGAGTTTAACAACTCATTGCCGGAGCTGCTGTGCTCTGATGACGACTCTGGAAATGAAGATGGTCTGGATATGGAGTACAGTGAGGCTGAAGCTGAAGAGCTCAAGAAGAATGCTGAGGTGGGTCTGAGACCCTCGGTGCGGTTTGAGAAGTGACAGTTTTCTGGGCATAGTTTTAATGATCGTGTAATGATTTGTTGTTTAGACTGGAGAGCTTCCGAACTCTTTCAGACTCATCAGTGTGGTCAGTCACATCGGCGGCAGCTCATCATCAGGTACTGGTGTCTTTTAGCTCGTTGTTTTTGCACTGCAGACCAAGTACAGTTTCATCAGGTGCTCTTCATCTCTTTCCTCCTATAGGGCATTACATTAGTGATGTGTATGACATGAAGAAACAGTCCTGGCTCACATACAATGATCTGGACGTCTCCCGCACACAGGAGTGCACTGTTCAGAGAGATCGTGACAGGAGCGGATACATCTTTTTTTACATGCACAAGTAAGTCTTTTCTTTCATGATGCATGTTGAGCCGTGTTGCTGTGTCATGGTAATCCAGGAATGAGTCTTATTATTTTATTTATCTTTTTTTTTTTTGTGAGAAGTTATCTTGTGTGGATAAATACAAGTAATCCATGCATATTAGGGCTGAGTAAAAAAAATATTAGTTTCTCAATCGATTGATCGATATAAATTTTTACGAAACGGCATCGATTCTTAAAGATGACATATTATGCCCCTTTTCACAATATGTAATATACGTCTCTGGTGTCCCCAGAATGTGTATGTGAAGTTTCAGCTCAAAATACTCCACAGATCATTTATTATATAATTTTGAAAATGCCTATTTTGAGTGGAAGCAGAAACGAGCTGTTTTTCTCTTTAAATGCAAATGAGCTGCTGCTCCACCGCTCCCTTTTCCAGAATAGAGCTGCGCCATTACAGCTCGGACCTGCTAAAAACATCTGTTTTGGTTCTGATTATCATGTTTATCACACTGAAATCATGTGTTTTAAACCATATGAGTTTAAACTTCAGATATACGGTTTTCTGAGTGCACACAACAGAAGCACACACACAGAAAGCGGCTGTCACAGCATGTGAGTACTAAACTAAGTTCTCATTCACACACAAGTTTACGTTAAAAACACACAAGTTACAAAAACAGTCGGTTATGTCTGTGAAGGTAAACAGCTGGGAAATAAATCGCATGTTTATTTTAGATCTGTGTGGCAGCAGCAATATACAGTAAATCAATAAATCCACTGCTCTCTTGTCTCCTCTGAGGCTGGGACTCTAAATAGTGTCCTGTGCTCGTCTGTGCAGCCAAAGACAGAACAGTTAGCATGTTTTGCTCAAACTTTCGCCATGGCATTAGAGCTGGTACACCGTTGTCGCTTGCAAAATCAAAATGACGGTGCCTTGAGTGGAAGTTTATAGATTTAGGGGCGGTAATATTATAATGAGATCCCTTTGCCACGTCACCAAGGGAGCGAAATCAGACGCGCTCGTTTTCTCAGACCCTTGCAGAAAAAGGCTTACCAAAACAAAGTTACTGGGTTAATCTTTCACATTGTCTTGGTTGGTAGATGCACCAGGGACCTGATTATAGCACTTAAAACCTGGAAAAGTCAGATTTTCATGACAAGTCACCTTTTAAATCACTTCAATTGTGGGAAGACGTCAATATAACAGCTTATAACAACTCTACAGAGGAGTATTTTGCTAAATATATGCACCATATAACACATTCATTATAATTTTTTACTGTTCTTCAATATTTAATTTGACTACGTTTTTATGACAGCCACCATTTAAATGTTTATATTTAAAAAAAAAAAACATTGGCGTAGAAATCGAATTATTGCTATTTATATGTAGAAATATGTGTAATTGTAAAGTTAGTATTATAATTTTAATATTTTAAAAACTGTGTGTAATTTTAGTGTTTGTATACAAATCAGTTAATTTGAACCTTTTAATATTGCAGGAATGTAGTACCAACTAACTCTCATGTATATTTTACAGCATTAGTTGAGATTAAATTTTTCTTCCTTGAGGAAATTTTTCATGCACCGTTACCTGATATATATATCCAAAATAATCTACACTGTATCTGAATGTAATCAAATCGCAAGCTTGTGCATATTCGTGAACGAGACCCAGTGTTTGTGAGGATGGTGGTTTTGTGATCTGATGAGATGTGTTTGTGTTCAGAGATGTGTTTGAGGAGCTGTCTGAGCTGGAGAAGGCAGGAGGGAACAGTGAAGCCGGTCGCACAGTGCTGCAACCGTTATAAACACTCTGGCACGCTTCTAACATCCCAGCCGGTGGATCCTTCTGCTGACGAACAGCTGAACTGAGCCAGGGGTAAACGCGACTCCCTTCATCAGTACTACTGAAGACCAATCCACACACACATGCACCTACTTTGGGCACTTTTCTATTTCTCTTTCACGTTTCCCATTGCTCCCTGTGAAATACTGTTGCCATATTAAATGTAGACTTGCAGTTAGATGGGTAAATGTTCTAGAAACTCATAGATACTAAATGTTTATGGGGTAAAAGCAAAGAAAATAAATAAATGTATAAATATAGAAAGCATTTTGAGTTTCTCAGAAGGTGTAACTTCAACCTCAAGGAAGTTGCTCTTTTGTTGGTTTTTTTATTTTAAATACTTTGTTGAAAAGACCCTCTGGTAAACTTTTGCATTAAGAAATATTGAGAGCTTGTTCTCTATAATTTTTTTTTCTCCCCTTTCCCCTCTGCAAATTTTAAATTTCTGATCTATTGCATATAAAAATTTATTCTTGTATATGTTTGGGTGGAATATGGGGTGTCTGTCTTGTTTGATATGCAGCTGAAAATGTGGTGCAATATTTGCTTTGCCAGTTGGCTTTTATATGACCTATAGCGATGAAGAGAGACTTGGAATAGTACTGATTTATATTCAAGGCTTTACTGATGACTGTTTGTCGTTTTATTCTTATTTTATAACCGTTAATCTAACAAGCTCCGTGGTATGGATGTAGCTTGTCTTTTTTTAAAGATCTCACTTTAAGAATCTTTATGCCTCTTCAACACCTACAGACCTAGTGAAATAATTTAGTTTTTTCTACTCTATAGAGCTTTACAGTGTGAAGTTGCACAGCCATTGTGTAGAATATCTGTCTTCAGAAAGACCTCAAATGAAAAACGCTCTTTACTGAATATAGGAAGCATCGGATGAGAGCGCTTCACATGAAGTCCGCTGATGTTATTTATTTTAGGATCTTGTTCTTTGTCTGATTTGTACCGTACTGTCCTTCTCATTTTCATGTCTTTGGTAACCACTGTATTCATGTTTTCTGTTCCGATCATCCGAGTAGGTTCATGGAAGAGTTGGACATTGTGTGTATGGTGTTCTCTGAAACAGTGGTATAAGCTCGACTTAATTGCTTAGTATTCAGACTTCCTTAAACACATTTTAAATAAAATTTATTTAGAAAAAAAAGGAGTTTTTCATTTGGCTTTAATTCAGACTTCTCAGTAGTGCGTGTTAGCAGCAAATGTGTCACCGGACCCATTTACGGCCCAAGAGTTTCTTTCAAGAATCGGTCTGGTGTCCTACGCGCTTCTCTTTGTGAGTGGCTCGAGGTGGCTGCCTGTTGAACTCGCTGAGAATGTAACTTACTTTCTGCTGCATCTGTCAAAAAAAAAAATAAATGAAGAGAGTCAAACTACTTATAAGAAGATGGGCTATTTGTTACAAAAGGTTCAGTTCAATAGTCTACACAATGCTTTTTTTTTCTTTTCTTTTCTCACTCTAGCAGTGACTTCTCATTTAAAACCTTAACTTCCTATATTTTTGCAAGTTGCAATATTTTTAATAACAGGTGCACACAATAGAAAAAACGGGACAATTGTCAACTATAATTTAGGTAGACGGCTATTTTTCATAAATGCCAGTTTGCCATAGTATTTAATGCCATTTGATCGTATGTACATTTCATTGTTTTTATATTGTGGATATTACTGAATCTCGAAAAGAGTTGAGAATCACTGCTTTCGTTCTGTTCTCATTGTGTTCCCACAAGCAGTTTTATATATTTTTCAGCCATTGGTGTGACAGACTAGAGCCAATCCTCTAATGAAATGTGAATGTGGCCTACCTCGTTCCACTCCTCTTCAGTTTCGTGTCTGTGCCCCAGTAAGTGGCAGATCCCATGAGCTGTGACCACCTGCGCAACGCCACAGAAAAAGCCATTTGAACAAACCTTTGACATTCCTGCCAGGCTACAGATATAAACCTGATGAAACCACACATCTCTCTTACTGTAAGTGCTTCATGAAGATCCTGGGATGTCTCTTTACACTGTTGCATTACGTACTCTACACCTAAGAAGATGTCGCCTAAGTTATACTCCTCTCTTTGGAGGGCACATGGGATTTGGCCTCAGATCCTTGGAAAATCACAAACTTCAGCCATTATTTTTCCTTTAACTGGCAAGACATGGGTTACTTCAACTGCCACCAAAACCAAGACATGCTCTAGCCACCTGTCAACGGCCAGTGTTTATATATAACACATTTCAGGCCATGTACTTCCTCCTGTCAATGAGGAAAGTAGTGTGTATAGCCAAATAACAACTCGAGCGTGACAGCAGCTGTGCCTCACAGTAAGGGAAGGCCAGCACAGCTGTGGGCTGCCTCTTCTTCCTGTAGATGTGGATGAAGCGCTGAATCCTGCGGTTGTCCACGCATAGGATGCCCATGTCAAACTTCTGGACCCCAGAGATGTGCCTCAGGACCTCCACATAGTGAAAGTACAATTCAATAGAACCTAAAATCCACACAACCTGCTGGGTTTTTTGTTGTTGTTGCGCTTGTCACCTTTCACAGGGTCACTAGGGATGTATAAACGTATTTACTTTGCTGCCTACGGACAAAAAAAAAAACGTTGTATTAAGGAAACTTCTGTGAACGTATAACAAGACCATTTCGACAAAATTACCCTGGTCCCGACTTCACCCTGGCCATTGATTTGGAAACTGAAAGTGCGCATGCGCCAATCGTTCAGTCGTGTGAACAGGAAGTTGAAAAAAAAAGTGTCAAAATAAAAGTGCTGTCATTGTGTTATCAAAAACATCGAGTAGCTCAAATCTTTTCTGAACGGTTGAATAACGGATTGTTGTAATAGCGACTCAACATTTTTATACACACGTGTACAATATGTATACCCGTTTCATTTAACTTCGTATTTATTTCGAAAGCGCAGTGACGCTCACTAGTCACAGGAAGTAGAAACTGAACTTCCGGGATTGGCTGCGCGTTCATATTGGAGGTCACTGCTGTAAAATAAAAAGGTAATTATTCTGCTATTTAACACACTTACAAAAGATTTACACCGCTTGTCGTGTAAGTTTACTTTAGTTTAAACTAGAGGCAGGATGTATTTGCTACTGAAAACGGCACCAGAGTCAGTCTGTGCGGCTTAGCTGTCATGAGCTGGTTCGCTTGTGTTGTTTCTGTCTGTTTATGAACACTTCAGTCGTTTAACACGACTGGGCAGCTAATTAGTGAAACCATTTAGCTACAACTAACTGATACGTTGCAGTCTCAAAATATGCGTTTAACTGCACCTATGCACAAGCTTTAGCCTACATTTTAACCATAGGTTTTGGGTGACTCGCTTCGTTCATAAGTGATTCAGATGAGTCGACTCTAATGACTCGAACTTGACACACTGAAAGAGACGCTGCGTAGCTTCCCAATTCTACATCTGTTGCATTAATAATGGTGAGATGTCTTCAACAGCAGTCATGGGTGGGGATCACGGACATGGCAAATTGTCCATGCCAGACTACAAAGTGTGGAAATGGGAAGGAACGCCGCTGGAAATGACCCAGCAGAGGCTTGCTCGAAGAGGTCTCCGGGACCCCTGGGCTCGGTAAGATCATACAGTTGCTCCTGAATTGTTTGCCTGGAGTCCTCTATAGCATGCACCATGACATTAGTATCTGAATATATAGTGTGCATTTAAATTCTGGCTCACCCCTGTGTGTTGCGATTTAGAATTATATAAGCGAGTTATAAAGAGAATAGTTCACCCAAAAATTTGTTAAATTAAAAGGGCATCCGTGATGTAGGTGAGTTTGTTTCTTCATCAGAACAGATTTGGAGAAATGTAGCATTATATCACACTTGCTCACCAGTGCAGTGAATGGGTGCCGTCAGAATGAGAGTTCAAACCGCTGATAAAAACATGGATAATGAATGAATGATGCATTTATGTAGCGCTTTATTGTGTATTGCTGTACACCCAAAGCGCTTTACAATCATATGGGAGGTCTCTCCTCAACCACCACCAGTGTGCAGCATCCACTTGGATGATGTGACGGCAGCCACAGGACAGCGGCGCCAGTACGCTCACCACACACCAGCTACAGGTGGAGAGGAGAGAGAGATAGAGCCAATCAAGTGGATGGGGATTATTAGGAGGCCATGATTGATTTGGCCATGACACCGGGGTTACACCCCTACTCTTTACGATGAGTGCCATGGGATTTTTAATGACCACAGAGAGTCAGGACCTCGGATTAACGTCTCATCCAAAAGACGGATCACAATAATCCACACGACTCCAGTCCATCAATTAACATCTTCTGATGTGAAAAGGTGTGGTTATAAGAAACAAACCCATCAAGATGTAAATGTAAAAGCATCACTTCTGGGTGAAATACGAGTCCATAATCCATAATATCACTTCCTCCAGTGATAAAGCCCATCTCCTGTTCTCCTCTCACATCAAAATCCACCCACATATTTGATTAGAACTATTTTAGACCGTTTTCTCTTGTAAACGGTGCTTGATCTGTGCATATTTCTCTCCTTATTCAGACAAGACCCTTTTTCACTGGAGAAAGCAATATTATGAATAGAGGACTCGTATCTTAGCCAGAAGCAACAGTTGGTGATGGGCGCGTTCGAAACACTGCTTCACGAAGCTTCGAAACATTTGCCAATCTTTTGTTTCGAATCAGTGTTTCGGAGCGCGTATCAAACCGGCCAGGTCTCGTGATTTTAGCAAACGAAGCTTCGTTACGTCGCACGGGTTCGAAACGTTTTGAAACGCCGATGGTTCACCACTAGGGGGTGTTGATCTCAAAGTGAACCCTTGAACCACTTCTGGTTGCCTAGTTAATCATGTGATATGAAATCCCACAAAATGTTACTATTAAAATAATGAATTCGGGGCCAGCTGTTGTGGGTTAAACAAAAGATAACCTCCCTTTAACACAGATGGCTATATAGTTTAAAAAATGTGTAAAAACATTCAGTACTTTCAACCTACAAATCACATCATACCTTAAAAATAAAAAAATGAGCTTACCATAGAATTAAATCCACCTCCTCCTTCTGACTGATAACACTACTCTTGCCTGCTGGTTTTACAGACCGCTCTAATGAAAACACTTAATTTATTAAATTACATAAATCAATTAATTCATTAAATAATTGAGTTCATTGTGTGTTAAGGGTTTGATTATACTTCAATAAAACACAAACACTTAAATACTATTAAATATTAGTGCTTGTTATGTATTTAAAAAACATTTCCGTTTGTTCTTGATGATTTTACAACGTTTTCACCAGCAGGTGTCGCCAGCATGTGCTGTTTCAAGTGCTTCGAAACATCAAATCATTTTTTTGAAGCAATTGGTTCAATTGATTCAATGCTTCGAAAAGCTTCGTTTCTCTCATCACTAGCAACAGTTTTAAAGTAAAACAAAACATCTCAAGTATTTTTTCTTTCAAACATGCACCGTTTCACTTCACAAGATGTTAGTTGGTGTGGATTGCTAGATGTTTTTATCAGCTGTTTGGACTCTCATTCTGACGGCACCCATTCACTGCAGAGCATCCACTGGTGAGCAAGTGATGTAACGCTACATTTCTCTAAATCTGTTCTGATGAAGAAACAAACTCTACAGCAGTCTACTTACTACATCTTGGATGACCTGAGGGTGAGTATATTTTCAGCAAATTTAAATGTTGTTTTTGGGGTGAACTATCCCTTTAAATTGAACATGACTTCTCTTAAAGTGACTTACAGGCCATCGTTTCAGTGCATTCAGTCTTATATTATCCTCAAACCGTCAAATATGTTATAAAATGTTTAATATTTAAAACCCTTCTGTACATTTAATGTCAGCAGTGCTTTATTATTTTATTTTTATAGAACAGGACATTATGAAAGTAAGAAAATGAAGGGACTAAAGGATGACGACGTTTGTTTTCGCAGGAATGAGGCGTGGAGATATACGGGCAGCTTTGGCGTCCCAGTTACCTTCCGAAATGTTCTCCTCCGTGGATTTAAGACAGGATTCGCAGCATTTGCAGTGGCACTGGCAGTGGAGTATGCTTTCTTCCCTCCAAAGAAGTCCGAGCACTAATAGCGTGGCTGAAGCTCAGTAGAGCCAGTCGCTGCCGGACTCTGTGTTTCCTGCAGGTTTTAAGCCTGTTGTTGTCTATCCATGAAGACGTTAGCCCGTGAAAGGCTTCCTAATACCTGTGCTCATTCATGGTTATGTTTCCTTTGACCATTCTGTAAAATAAATATAAATTAATTGAATTGGGCTGGGTATGTTTATTGGCTATTATAGTCCAACCTTTAGAACTTAATTTAACTTGAAATTACTATCGTAAAATGCTATTCTTTAAATAAGTATAAATACCAGTGATTTGCAAGTTACATTTCCTGAATGGGGTGCATTTCCTGAATATGAAGAGATTAACATGAATGCAAATCTAAGATAGTATTCTGACTATGACATCCTTAACTTCCTCTCTAAAGTCGTGTGCTTAAAGTGTATGTGTCTTTTTGCTTTGTTGTGCATACTGAGGTATGAATCGAAATGATTGTCTCTGGCATTGCACAGATGCCGCCAATTAGATCGGAAGGTTAATATTTAATTTAATGGGGAACTGTGTGTGTAAAATATCATTAAGGTCAAATCTGGGGACTTCTCTTCCAGCTAAACTGAAATGGCTACCAGGAGAGGAACAGATTACCAGAAGTTAGATGGAGCTTACTTATTAACACTATCTTGCTAGACATTGTTTTACGGTTTTTCATATCCAGTAAGTTTTTAGTTGCGGTTTTATGTGATATGAAGTTTCGCTTGTAAAAGGCTGGTTATAGTATTTGTTCTGCAGTGAAAATGTTCATAGAATCCTTTTATATAACAGTTTGACCAAGAGAAGTTGGTACATCTTTAGATGTCATCAAACATAACCTTTAAGTATTATTGGAACCAAATGCAGGCACATCAGTATAAGCAATGCAACTGTGAATTTTGGTGTACAACGGTGTCAGATATTTTACTGTAATCTAGCATGATAGGAGGGAGTAAGTTAAATATGAGAATATGTAGTGTGTTCACTTTCTCCCCAATTTATATAATCCAACAACAACAAAAAAAACCCCCGCAAATTTGGCTAAATGCCCAAAATAAGCACGCACTTGAATTACGTAGCAGAGGAACGTTCTGTTTCGCACTTGTTCCGGTTCCATTTCGAAGCTGTAAAAGTGTCATTACCGCTATTAGTTCGCGAGCAGATGCTCCGTTCAATCAGAAGAACGGCTCCCTGGAGGTAAGGTTTACAGTTTTGTCTTTTAATGCGAGAATATTCGAAGTTATTGACTTAATCTCCACACATAAAACACGTAGCCACATATAGGTTGCTTTTTTTAAATCATAGTTTTAGAATGACATACACATATAGTAATATTATTTGTAACTATTAAGTTTTACGCTGTAAATGCGACTAAATGTATTGTTAATTTAGCCTAGTACAACTGACTGTCATCAAAACTAATATAAAAGATAGAAAGCCTTAAATAGTCTTTACTAGATGCGATATTAATTTAATAGGCTATAGCCTATTTAATAGCCTACGATATAGGAACGTGCTATTTTGACAAGCGCTTGCTATGTTGTTATTATTATTATTATTACGGGTCTTATAGGGTAGACGAATATCGGAAGTATGATATGAGCAGGTTGCGAATTACTGGGGGTCTGGAGGGGTCTGGCCCCCCTAAAGAAAGCATGATCCCCCTGAAGGACGTCAAAACTAGGTCTGATAGAAAGTAGCCTATGCATAATATGGAGATTTGCTTTTCAAAGATGCATTTCTGTAGCTCTGACTGATTTCAAACTGTAATTCTGGCAGCATTCAAGGACGTGCATTTATTGCTTGGACGGAGCGAGAACACTTTCTCACTTTCGCGTGCAGATTCAGTCGAGTTAGAAGTTCAAACTCTTTAACTCTATGCTGTTGTACTGAATTAACTATTTGTTAAAATAGCCACAATATTAACAGCAACACTGAAATAAGAGCTCGCGGTTGATCTGTTGACCTTTAAGGTAAAGGTGCAAATAATATCGGGGGAAGAAAAAAATATATGGCTCGGCTGTGTTACATTTTAGACAATATTCTCAATATTGTCTGTTTCTGTGCAAGTTCGCTAATGGTTCAGTGAGCCATTTTTAAACACAAGTCAGCTTTGCAAATGAATGAATCAGCCTTTGAACGAATCGGTTGAATGAATGACTGAATGGCTCACTCATTAATCACAAAAATGTGCACACACACACAAACGTATATATTAAATGAAACTAATTAATTTTCTTATGAATTAAAAATATGTTCAATATGTATGATATGCTTTAAAGATTTACTATATATCCGTTCAATACAAGGAGCACTGATGCTCAGCTGGTTCATTATGAAACCAGTAGAATTTTAATTTAAAAAAAGGTTCCTTTTCTTTTCTTTCCTTGACCATATTGCTAAAATGACAGTTTTGCATTTAGGATAATATTGTTGTTCTCCTGTTATCCAAGGCAAGCATTAACATTATTTCCTAGTTACACACTGTGAGTGCAGACTCCAAATATAAGTGAAACTGTTATTGTGGGTGAAAATGCCACTGTGATGGATTATTATCAAGTGTTGAACGTGGTCAAAGCAATAATCTATAACAGATCAGTGGGCCAAAACTGACATGTGCTGATTTGATCTCCAGCAGCAGGAGGAAGTGTACAGCATGCCGAGTGATCCCAGAGGAGTGTGTTTAATCATAGACTGTGTCGGCACTGAAGGAGGTGAGAAATCACTGATCTTATGCAGTTTACTCTACTGTTCAAACGTTCTACTTAAAATGTCTTTGAAAGAAGATTCTTATGTAAATCAAGGCTGCATTTATTGGATCAAAAATACAGGAAAAACAGTAATATTGTGAAATATTATTACAATTTAAAACAACTGTTTTCTATTTGAATATATATTAAAATGTAATTTATTCCTGTGATCAAAGCTGAATTTTCAGCATCATTACTCCAGTCTTCAGTGTCACATGATCCTTCAGCAATCACTCTAATCATTTGCTGATCAAGAAACATTTTTATTATTATCAGTGTTAAAAACAGTTGTGTTGCTTAATATTTATGTAGAAACCATGATACTTTTTTTCTGGATTCTTTGATGAACATGAAATAATAATCTTACGTAACAATGTTAAAGTATTTGATTTCACTTTTGATCATTTTAATGCATCCTTGCTGAATACAAGTATTCATTTCTTTAAAAAAAATCTTACTGACCCCAAACCACTGAATTGTACTGTAAATAACCAATATTAATGATTCTTTCACTGAGTTTTTAATCTGCTACTGTTTTTCAGTGTGGATTCAATTCTCAGTACAAAACTTTTTCTAAAAGTGGTTTATCCAAAAGCTACTATTCTATTGGTGTTTCTTTTCCTAGCACAAACTTTATTTATTTATTTGTATTTTGTGAAATGACAAATTTTAGTTTAATCACCAAAACACAACAGGATGAGCCATTTCCATTTAGCAATTGTAATTGTAATGACTAGTATATTTAATAGCAGACTATTATCTGACCAGAATTTATTTAGTTGAAAATTGGAAGTCATTCGAATGTAAATATCTGTTTGGTGATTAGTACTATTACTACCACTTAGTTTTGAAAGAAATCACATTACCTTCTGGTAATGGCTTCTCTTTTCCTTACAGATGAGCTGGAGCAAATATTTAAGGCCTTAAACTTTCATGTGATCACGCACAAGCTGCTGAGTGCGAGAGACGTGCAGTCCACTCTGAGGGAAGTGGCTCATCAGCAGGGTCACCATAGAGCGTCTGCTTTTGTCTGCTGCATTATCAGCCGAAGCCGCTCTTCAGATCTGCTGGCCACTGACTCTCACGGTCCAGGACTGAGCCTGGACACTGTCAGGCGCCTCTTCACCTCAGACTCCTGCCCGGGCCTGGCAGGCAAGCCTAAACTCTTCTTTATCCAGAGCTATGATGTGTCCGAGCCTCAGAGGTGTGCTGGGTGTATGGGGTGTGAAGATGAGGAGGGTGGAGAGCTGGAGACAGATGCGCCTGTGCTCTTATGCCGCGTGAGGACGGTCCCAGTGGACGCGGACATCTTCTGGAGTCACTGCTGGACTAAAGGACAACAGCTGGAGGTGCCAAACCATCAGTCTGTGTATCTGAAAGCCTTGAGATCCTCCTTAACGGAGGGACAGAAAAGGTAAGACTAACACTTTGAATTGTTTAGAATTACACTACCCAGTCAAAAGATTGGAATACTTAATTCTCATGCTCACCAAAACTCCATTTATTTGATCAAAAGTACTTACTTTAAAACTGAGTTTATTCCTGTTATGTAAAGCTGAATTTTCAGCATCATTGCTCCAGTCTTCAGTGTCGCACGATCCTTCAGAAATCATTCTAATATGCTGATTTGCTGCTCAAGAAACATGTCTGATGGCCCATTTATTGTTAGTTTAGTAAGTGCAGCGCACTGCCAGTGTGTGTGTGTGTGTGTGAGAGAGAGTGTGTGTGAGAGTGTGTGCTGATTTCCGCGTGCAGCCTTTCCATCTCCATGCGACATGCCGGGTTTCAGAGATCGGGGTTGCATCAGATTTCCTGAAGGGTTCATGCATTATTGTGGATGCGGGCTGTTAATTACATACACACCTTTCCAAATGCGCTCTGAAATATCTGATCTGTCATCAGTATGTTTTTACTACAGCCCTTCTGTACCTATCTATAATAGCGGTGATGAAGATGATGATAGGTGTAATGCAGGTTCAGTGCTGTGTCAGCAGTGCTTCGGATCAGAAAGACCATTCAATCCCATTAAAAGCAATGCAATACATCAGAGAATCACATGTTGGTTTAATCCAAGCAGACTGCTGTTACTTTTGCCAAACAAGACATTCTGAGCATCATGCTATTGGTCATATGTGTGTGTGTGTTTGAAGGAGCTGGAATAAATGCAAGACTTTTAGATTCATAGTTATGTGATTTTCAGGTTGTAGAACTATATGGGTTGTTCCAAGCGAACTGCTCAGTGTTCAAACTGTGTTATCTGGCTATGGAAATTTCAGCAAGAACAACAGCATGCTTTGCATGTCATGCCCATGCTTGCAAATCTTCCCTAAACAGGTCATTTGCTGATAGGAATATTGATTAAACCTGTATGTTCTCATGCAAGTAATTTGTATCAATACATTGTCACTACCATATTTCATCCTGACAAGGTGACATGAGGAAAAGTCAAAGATCCATTCTTATTGCTTTTTGTATCCCACAAGACCTTGACTTGTAAGGAGCATCTTTATTTATAAAAAAAAATCAGATATTAGAGATAAAGCCTTTAATGTAATAACAGATGTGCTGAACTGCAATGGTCCTGGAACCTTTTAAACTGGAGCGTGTCTTCTGTGTAAATGCACAGCAGGAAGAGTTCAAACTCAACTAATTAGACCAACCGTGTGCTGCTTTCTTGAGATCTTCCAGCACGTCTATGAGGGAGGGGAATGGCTAAATGGGCCTATTATTTGATGACTGTTATTTTAATGAAATTCATACAATTACAGGACTGTTTTTAAAATGATAATATTGTCAGAACCAATTATGGGCAGTACTCATCCACATGCTATTAAACCTCTTTTTAAACCTGCTTTGCTCTTTATCGAGATTGTTTATGTATTAATTCAGGGGAATTCATTATAATTATTAGTTCTGCTGAGTAAGTAGACGACCTGAGTTTGTTCTTGTGAAGAAAGTTTAAGAATTGTGGGAATATACACTTAGGTTTGGGGTCAGTGAAGATTTTATTATTATTATTTGAAAAGAACTTAATGGTTTTATTCAGTAAGGGTGACCTAAGCTGATCAAAGTGACCGTAAAGACTTACATTGATACAAAATTTGAACTTTCTATTCATGAAAGAATCCTGGAAAAAAAAAATCAGTTTCCATTAAATTATTTACAGCATTTTAGACTGATTTCTGAATGATCATGAGACACTGAAGACTGGAGTAATGATGCTGAAAATTCAGCTTTGCATCACATGAATACATTTTATTTTGAAATATATTCAAATAGAAAAGTGTTATTTTAAATTGTAATAATATTTCACAATATTACTGTTTTTCACTGTATTTTTGATCAAATAAATGCAGCCTTGATGAGCATAAGAGACTTTTTTCAAAAACATGAAAAAAAATCTACCTCAAACTTTTGAATGGTAGTTTAAACATGGACAAAGTATTAAGTTAACTGGCAAAAATCTATGAAGTGCTCAAGTTCTGACCCGTATTTCATTTGATTAGCTCTGGGACGGCAGCACCAGACCTTTCTTGCATGCTGAGGGAAGTTTAACTGTTGTGGTGTTTTAAAAAGGAGACTGCGAGTCCAAAATAGCAGCAGCTCATACTGCTGACATACTGTGTCACCGCTGACATCTCTCACTTCATTCCAACACCACAAATTTCCCAGTACTGCTTCCCAAAAAGTCTGCATTTGTAAATTCAATATTTGCATGGTTAAAAATGTAGCATATAACACAAGCGAACAACACAAATAAACACAGCAGGGTCGCAGAAAACAGCCGAACCCCTGTCCGCTTCCTGTTTGCGTGTGCATAACTTCCTGTCCTGCACACTGTCTGATAGCCATTCATTTCCTTTATCCTTTAATTGCTGACGTCACCAGGCCCAACTCAACAAGACCCTCAGAATGATTTTACGCAGCGGGCTTCTGAAGAGGGTTTTAAAAGTGATTTGATATTTTCTGAATTCAGTTTATTCCCCTGAAGGTTTAATCTGAATTTAAACAGGTTGCGTTTGTGTTGCAATACTGTATCATGTGCTACAAATAGTTCTCAACATGTTAGCTCAAAAGAAGAGCAGAGCGATGTTAGACTGAGGGATTTTTTTTTCAAGGACGCTGCTTTAATGTTATTCTTGGTTGGAGATATTGATGAAGAATCACACTTCAAACTGCAGTGCAGTTCAGGACTTGGTTAATTTGGCTCTGAGAAACCAGTCCTGAGGCTGTTTCTCTAGTCTTTTTGAGGTTTAGAAATCAATTTATTTAGTTCCACTAATGATTTTGGATGATCATGCAGGTGGATGAAGAAGTAATGTCAATTAGCACTGCATTGTTAGCTAAGTTCAGCTGTAATAGATGTGTAAGTCTCACGGGAGGCTTCATGTTCCTGAGCTGAGTGGAACAGACAGGCGTATGAATAACTTTAGTCTAAATCATTCACTTGTTTAACTGAACTGTTTTGAAGTCTATGGGCAGTAATGGAATGCAGTCTATGTGATAGCAGTTTGAGTAGCACAAATGCTTGAATCAGTCCAAGTCGTCTGTTGAATTGTGGCCTAGAGATTTTGTAGGAATGTCATATACAGTATCTCACAGAAGTGAGTACACCCCTCACATTTTTGTAAATATTTTATTATATCTTTTCATGTTGACAACACTGAAGAAATGACTCTTTGCTACAATGTAAAGTAGTGAGTGTACAGCTTGTATAACAGTGTAAATTTGCTGTCCCCTCAAAATGACACAACACACAGCCATTAATGTCTAAACCGCTGGCCACAAAAGTGAGTACACTCCTAAGTGAAAATGTCCAAATTGGGCCCAAAGTGTCAATATTTTGTGCACCCACCATTATTTTCCAGCACTGCCTTAACCCTCTTGGGCATGGAGTTCACCAGAGCTTCACAGGTTGCCACTGGAGTCCTCTTCGACTCCTCCATGACGACATCACAGAGCTGGTGGATGTTAGAGAGCTTGAGATGCTCAATAGGGTTTAGGTCTGGAGACATGCTTGGCCAATCCATCACCTTTACCCTCAGCTTCTTTAGCAAGGCAGTGGTCGTCTTGGAGGTGTGTTTGGGGTCGTTATCATGTTGGAATACTGCCCTGCGGCCCAGTCTCCGAAGGGAGGGGATCATGCTCTGCTTCAGTATGTCACAGTACATGTTGGCATTCATGGTTCTCTCAATGAACTGTAGCTCCCCAGTGCCGGCCGCACTCATGCAGCCCCAGACCGTGACACCCTCACCACCATGCTTGACTGTAGGCAAGACACACTTGTCTTTGTACTCCTCACCTGGTTGCCGCCACACACGACCTTGGTCGACCATGGCAAGACCTGTTCTGAGTGGAACCTGTCCTGTTAAACCGCTGTATGGTCTTGGCCACCGTGCTGCAGCTCAGTTTCAGGGTCTTGGCAATCTTCTTATAGCCTACGCCATTTTTATGTAGAGCAACAATTATTTTTTTCAGATCCTCAGAGAGTTCTTAGCCATGAGGTGCCATGTTGAACTTCCAGTGACCAGTATGAGAGAGTTAAACCAAATTTAACACACCTGCTCCCCATTCACACCTGAGACCTTGTAACACTAATGAGTCACATGACACCAGGGAGAGAAAATGGCTAATTGGGCCCAATTTGGACATTTTCACTTAGGGGTGTACTCACTTTTGTGGCCAGCAGTTTAGACATTAATGGCTGTGTGTTGAGTTATTTTGAGGGGACAGCAAATTTACACTGTTATACAAGCTGTACACTCACTACTTTACATTGTAGCAAAGTGTCATTTCATACTTTTCATACTTATGGAACTTTTGGGTTCCGTAAGTAAAAATCCAATTGTTAACGCTAACAATAAAAACTTTAGAGGCAAACCTACTTGTGAGATACAATGTTGTTAATCAGTGGTATATGCTTTTGTTAAAGTCATCAGCCTGAATTATTTCAACCTATTCTTTTTTATAATTATGTTTAACAGCAGAATTTCTGGTGAAAAATTACTTTACCCATGATTCAGCAAAGAAATCTCCACCAATTAGAGAATTGTGACAAGTAAAATGTGCCAAAAGAACCGCCCAATCCCATGATGCACTGTGAATGATGTAATAGAGTTTCCCTACACTCTCAAACTATATTTAGCGTATTTTGCAATAAACTTACAATACATTTTTATTTACGTAATTTACAATGCTGTATCAGCTTGTAGTTCTTTCCCTTGTTAAACAGTCATCGTCTTTTTTTGCCTTTTTCAAAGTTTCTAATGTTGTGGTTCACCTCATAGCTGGTTCCTTTGGCTTATGTCTTATACCTTTTTAACAAAGACTTTTAAAAAAAACCTTTTAATCCCCACTGAAAAAGTGTTCAGATGCTGTTGCACTCTATAGTGATATCCTGAAGACCAGCAGCTGGAGTTT